CTCCTGAGTGTGACGTGCTGTGGGCTGAGCTCCCTCATTATGGTTCACTCCTGACTGATGTGCTGTGGGCTGAGCTCCCCCCATTACGGTAGCATGTAGAAGCAGGCAGATGCCCCCTCACCTGTAACGGGGTTGAGAAATTCTGGCCTGCTGCCTCGTCCCTTTCTGCAGCGTCACCGTGAGCTCAGCCCCTCGCACAGGTAGAAAGCCGTTCAAGCACATAAGATCCATGTGAACAGAGTCTGTAATGCTCTGGGGCTACACGTATGTTACTGTGTGCTCACTGGGCACCACAGCAGATGAACTCAGCTTGAGTGGGGAAAAAAAAATCAACTAATGGATTTTTTTCTTTTCTTTTCTTTGGTGTCAAGGGAAATATTTTTCACAGACTAGAAAGGCTTTTACAATATTTTGAGAAAACTTTTCCTTCACCCTTAGGTGAGGACTCTGAGAAGAAGTCCACACTGCCATGAGGAAATTCTCACCTCGATTTTTGCCCCATGAGGCCACCCAGCCCATTAGGAGGTGTGAATCAGCCCCCGTCCTGATGTGGAGTTGGGATTCTGGGGGAGCCCCTGGCTGTAGCACGTCATTTCACCAAGGATTCGTTTCCTCATCAGGAACCTGCAGATAAGTGTCTTCTGAGGGTCTCTGACTCTCCACGTAACTGCAGGAGGCGATTTGCTGAGCTCTCTGGCACTGCTAACAAAGAGCTCCCCAGTTTCCAGTGACTCGTTCTCCACTTCTGGGCCTTACTGACAGCAGCCTCAACATCCTTTTTTCTACCAACAGTCTGGGGTAGTGCAACAGTTAAGTACTCGGCTGTTAACCGAGATGTTGGCAGCTCGAACCCACCCAGTGGTTCCACTGAAGAAAGACCTGGTGACCTGCTCCCATAAAGATGACCAAAACCCAAACCAAACGCACTGCCGTCGAGTGGGCCCCAATTCATAGCAGTCCTTCCTTGGGTTTCCGAGGCGGTATCACTACGGCATTAGATTGCCTAACCCTCCTTCTGAGGAGTGGCTGGTGGGTTTGAACCACCAGCCTTCGGGTTAGCAAATGCCTAAAACCCCAGGGGGCAGCTTTGCTCTGTCACATGGGGTTGCTGTGAGGTGAAATTGACTCAGTGACACTTAACGAATTCCTCCCATTTCAGGTATTTTTTAAACAGTGTTTCCAGATGCCAGAGTCTCTCTTTTTCCCTTTTGCTGTGGAACAAACGAGCACAGATGTAGTGGCTCAAGGAGTCCCTGGGTGGTGCACACAGTGAGCGTGCCCAGCTGCTGGCTGAAAGGTCAGAGGTGCTGATTCACCCAGTGGTGGCTCCGAAGAAAGGCCTGGACACCGAGCCACTAGGAACCCTACGGAGCACAGCTCTGCTCTGACGCACGCAAAGTCGTCATTAGTAGGGGTTGACAGCCCGGCAGCTGGTAGTGGTCTGAAGCCATGCTCATTTATTGTTTTACAGTTTACGGAGGTCAGAAAAGGAGCTCTGGTGGTGCTGTGGTTAAGGCATTGGGCTGATAACCAAAGGGTAGCAGTTCAAACCCACCAGCCACCCGCCGGAAGAAAGATCAGGTGCTCTGCTTCCGTAAGGATTGACAGCCTTGGAATCCCAGTGGGGGGGTCCCTATAAGTTGGAGTCGACTCAGTGGCAGTGGGGTTTTGGCATACGTGAGAGGTGTAGGCATGGCTCATCCGGGTTCTGTACCTTGGGCCATCCGAGGCTGAAATCAGTGTTGGCCAGGACTGCTGTCTCATC